TCAGCTGCCTCTCGCTGCCGCCCATTCACTGCCACCCAGTCGCAAGGAGATGATCGCTGGAGGGGGTGACTGGGCGACGCTGGCAGCAGTCAATGGGCAGCCGCGGGTGGCGGTCCAGTGCGGCTGGTTCTTTGCCTCAGTCTCCGTCTCCTGCTGCTGCCTTCCTTGTATAAAACGACCCTCATTTTTCCTCTAATTATTTTAGGAAATAATGTCATTTTATACAGAGGGATGTGGTGGCGCTGCAAGCTAAACTGCAGAAGCCTGTGCTGCAGGGTCAGAAGACCAGCAGTCGTAAGATTGAATCCACGCGACGGAGTGAACTCCCGTCACTTTGTCCCAGCTCCTGCCAACCTAACAGTTCGAAAGCATGCAAATGCAAGTAGATAAATAGGGACCACCTTGGTGGGAAGGTAACAGCGTTCTGTGTCTAAGTCGCACTGGTCATGTGACCACAGAAGATTGTCTTCGGACAAAACGCTGGCTCTATGGCTTGGAAACGGGGATGAGCACCGCCCCCTAGAGCCGAACACGACTGGACAAAAATTGTCAAGGGGAACCTTTACCTTTACCTTTTATACAATGAAAAATATGGTAGTCTTGTACTTTAAGGTCCTGGGATGAATTTGATAATTGTGGGATGGGTGTGGTCCATAGTTTTGGAAAGACAGACGAACAAAGATTAACAAACACAGCTGCTTATTGCCTTGGTGTGTTCTTGGATGGGATCTTAAATGACCCACTCACTTCTCTATAGCTTGCACTAGTGTATAGGAGGAGGTCAGTGGATACTTTGGACAAACATGCAGTTTGGGAGCAAATGACCTTTGATACTTTGACACCTATTTCATTTTCCTCTGTTTATTGAGAGCTTCTTTCTAGCAATCTTAATGTTTGCAGAATGCATTGGTGTTGCACAATGGGAATTTTTTAAATGTTGCGACCAGTCGTTAAATAAATGTTACTTGGATTGATCCTTCATAATAGGAGAAGTAAATATTGCTGTAAAATTATAAACATCTCTGAACACCCTTTTACATGGTTGATGGATCCATTGCTAAGTTTTGCAGAAACTTCTTGTGGAGGTGACCTTGAAGGTAGATTTTGGATGTGTATCTCCAGAACCAATTTTGGTACGTTATTGATCTTGTAAAGTGCCAAGAATTCTGAATGATTCTATTCATCATTTATGGACGTCATGCTAATTCATGTATTGTGAATACTCCGGTACATCCTTGTAGGTGACTGTTGGATTAACTGCTGGAGTGGCTGGTGAGTGTGCCACATGTTAGTGTAACTTGAATAGATCCTATACAGGTCCCTGCTGGATTAGTGGTTTCTCCAAATTCCATAAAATCTCTGTCTAGAGCCTGGTATTGGCGGAGTGTGGTATTATGCCTCCCTCTGTTAATTCATTTCTAAAAACCTGTGTCCTGCCTCACCACAGAAGAAGGTGCTTAAGGTAATAATAACACTGACTTTCAAAACAGAACATGAATATTTTATTTTAACTGACTGTAAGCCACCTTGATTTACCAATGGGGAGAAATGTGGCCAATAAAATAAAAAAATGAAATCATGAGTGGCAATCAATTAAAACATAATTAAAACCAACAATTTTTGAAAGTGTTAGCAAATCAGTATTCCAGAGAACTACATTTGGCTGTCTGTAAGACATCTGTACACTTAAATAATAAATTTTAAATAAAGATTTACGGCAACCATCTCCATAAATATTCTGCCTCGGATGCTTTACAGTGATGCCTAGAAACGTGATTCATAATGCTTGCTCATTTATCTTTTAGGTCAAGAGCGGTTTGGCAATATGACCAGAGTGTACTATAAAGAAGCTGTAGGGGCCTTTGTAGTCTTTGATGTCACAAGAGGATCAACATTTGAGGCAGTTTCCAAGTGGAAACATGACTTGGACAGTAAAGTCATTCTGCCAAATGGTAGCCCAATCCCTGCTGTTCTGCTCGCCAACAAATGTGATCAGAAGAAAGAAAGCAGCCAGAATCCTTCTCAGATGGACCAGTTCTGTAAAGAGGGAGGTTTTGCTGGGTGGTTTGAAACGTCTGCTAAGGTAAGAACATTCTTAAAACAAAGATGTGGGCTTCATGCTTTTAAAGTCGTCTCTGCAATAAATAAAACTGGACTTCAGGCATGCTCACTAGCCTCCAAATATACTAATTACTTGATTTCCCAACTTCTGTCTGTTGTATTAGCCTTGAAGAGGTTTGCAGAATTGCCGGGCTACTCCACAGCTCAGCATAAGGGGGGGGGAGTTTAGATTATTTCAGTATGGGTGAATATCTTATAGAGAACTTAAATAGGAGTAAATAAAATAAGTGACAAATTGTAGCTTACTGACAAGGTACCGGATGCATGGCAGTTGTGTGGCGCTTTGTTAATTAGCTGCAATTTGTCACCACAGTTTGCCTGGTTTTAAAATCCCTGGAGTAAAATCCCGATGGACTTCTAGCTCCTGAATCTTAAACTCCTCTGTGCTCCTTTTTTTTCATTACGGGACACGGTATGTTGCCTGTGTGGTGTTCATTATAGAGTACTGTGTGTTGGCAGAGGCAATATATATTGTGAGGCTGGCTGGATAGCTTAATGAGTTAGGTATCTGGCAATGAAATCAGGAGCTGGGAGCTTGATTCCCCACTGTGTCTCCCTGGAGGAAAGCCATCATGTGTAGCCTTAGATAAGCTGGACAGTCTCAAAGTGCCCCCAGAGGAACGCAGTAAACTCCTCTGTGCTCCTACTTTATACCACTTGCAAGTACTTTATACCTAGAAAGTTCTAGAAAGTGTTGCCATAATTTGTTGTTGTTTTGACAGCCCCTTATTTTTATTATTATATATTGTGAATGCTGCCAAGCACTCTTAACAGAAAAGAAATTAATTTAACAGAGCCAATCTCTTACTTAGTTATTCCAATATAGTGTTGAAAAAAGGCCTTCCACTCAAGTTCTTAGCATCTACTTAAATTGCATATTTTGAGAAACGCTACACTTCTCAACCACCACCATTACCCTAGCCTTTTATCACAAAGGCCAATAAATTGTTGACACTGTAAAAAAAACATGACCTGTTATTGCCTGTCTTGGATAAATATAATTTCTCGTTCACCAAACCATTTTTTGGTTCAGGATGATGCTACAGTAGGAAAACCTTCAGTAATACTGTCCTTAGGTGGAGTTTCATGCTGTCTCACCTTCCATTTTTTATAGCTACATAAATATAAGAGGAGTTATGAATGAGTGGAAGGATAAGTTTTAAAATGAGTGCAGTAAGCAAGATAATAAGACCACAAGCTGGCACATAAACACCATCTTGTTCTCTAATTTGCCATCTGTTGGGTAAAATTTCTGGTGCTTGCTTTTAGCATGAGCTAATGGTTAAACGAACATGATCAGATACACATAATACCTGTTTAACCAGGGTGCAGGGTGAATGTTTGCTAGCCAGGGAGAGGACAACAAGTTAATCCTTTCTAGTCTTCATGTGATATTATCAGTTGCTTAACTTTCTTTTACACAGATTTAATTTCCATACGGTGGTTTTCATCTTGCCATGTAATTCTGTGTTTTTTGATGCTCACATGCTTAGTCGTTTGGAGAAGGAAAGAATAAACAATTAGATTCCATTAGAAGAAAAACTACCACCAGCTTTAAGTCCTGGCTATCTTTTTGATTAAGGAACACAAAGCCAGGGCAGAGTAACTGCTGATGCCAAGCTCCAGTGCCTGTGACCTTCGAAAGAAATGATTCCCAATTTTTGGTAATCACACTGCTGCTGGCTTTGAAAATCGCAATCAAAAGCAAAAAACGAAGTGTGCTGCTTATATACCGCCCCATAGTGCTTCAAGCACTCTCTGGGCAGTTTACAAGTTAATTATGCAGGCTACACATTGCCCCCCCCCCAGCAAGTTGGGTACTCATTTTACCGACCTCAGAAGGACAGAAGGCTGAGTCAACGTTGAGCCAGCTACCTGGGATTGAACCCCAGGTCGTGAGCACAGTTTTTAGCTGCAGTACAGCAGTTTAACCACTGTGCCTGTTTCTTGCTTCAACAACTGTTAAAACAACTAATTAGAAACCAGTTCTTCATGACAAACATGTAAGGGAGCATTTGATTACAACTCATAAGATTTGCACAGCAAATTTGAGTGTTCACATGAAGCTTAATCCTAAAAGGAGGATGTACAGCTCAAAGACTTGAGACAAGGTCCTGGGCAAACCCAGTTTAAAAGGACTTCAGGCAGGAGGGCCAGTGCTCGTGCCTGGCCCAGTTTTACCTATTCAATTGAGTTTGAGTTGGGGTTCATATATGAGCATCTAACTGAAGAAAATGAAGATTCCATCTATCCAGTATTACACTACATTCAGGCAGGCATCCACAACCAGCCCCTACTTTATATGTGCATGCAACCATACTGTCCATGGTAAAAATCTTGGTCTGCAAATTGTCAGGAAGTGAAACGGTCTGTGCAGAAAAAGGCACATATGTTTTTTTTTCTCCTGTTAAGAATGATGGTCCAAGGAGTGGGTTCACTAGCTCTGATGTTCATCATGGAATCAAATGATGTTGCTGGACCATACTGGGAATGTGGCAAAAAGGAAAAAGATAGCTAAGTTTAAAGCAGTGCTTTTTCCACATAGCTTTTGCATTGCTCCAAAAATCACTTAAAAGCGTGGAAAATCAGAAATTGAATGTAGCAGTGGTTGTAAGTTAGGTTCTCCTTAATTCTCAACCAATTGCATATATGACACCTGAAAAATTACTGAAAATATATGAAAGTACCTCTAACAAATGTTGGAAATGCAAATCAAAAGAAGGTAATTTTTATCATATGTGGTGGACTTGTAGAGAAGCTAAGAGCTTTTGGAAACTAGTCCATGAGTTTTTACAAAAAAATATTATCGTCTATAATTCCATATGAACCTGAGTTGTTTTTGTTGAATATAATACTAGACTTAATAGAAAAAGAAAAACAATATTTGATCATACATGTAACTACACCAGCAAGAATTTTATATGCCAAATACTGGGGGAAAAGAGGAGACTCCAACAGCCCAGGAGTTAATAGAAGAAAAATCTTGAAGCATCAGAGATGGATATTTTAACTGAATGAAGTATTAAAAGACAAAGAAATTGCTGAGGCTAGAAGAAAGTGGAAACCTTTGTATAATTGGATGAGAGATGAGAACATGAATAGGTTAAAATTATGAGAAAGAAAATATAAAACATAATTTTAGAATGTAAAGACTTAGAAAAAATAAGTGTGAAGTAAGCTTAGTAAGAAACATATTGACAAATGTAATAATGATAAATACTGTTCTCTATCACATTCTGTATTTTTTATTTACCCCAATACCCTGATCCAAATCCCCTTCCCTATGATCTTTCCTTACCCAATGAAAAATGAAATTGAAAAAAAAATTCTCAACCAATTACATGAAGGCAGAAATAAGGACAGTGAAGGCCTTTGTTAAGAAATTAACATCAAGATGTCTGTTAAAAAGTACAAATGTTTATATAGCACTTTGTGTGTGCTGAAGAGATGGCATTTTGTGCCATCTGGTTTCTCCTCTATGGGAAAGCATTTAACTTAGCTTATGGTTTTCACAGGATAATATCAACATTGATGAAGCTGCTCGGTTCTTGGTGGAAAACATCCTTGCCAATCTCAAAACCTTTCCTAACGAAGAGAATGATGTTGGAAAACTAAAACTGGACTCCGATCCACTGAAAGCAGAAAGTAAATCTCAGTGCTGTTAGTTACGTTTTTATCTTTTATTGATACACTATGTGAGAGCGGCAGAGTTCTTGCTTCTCGAAGTGGGCAGCTGCTATGGTGCTTCTTCACAATCCTCGGGGTGGGTGGGTTCTGATTTCTTTGAGTTGGTCACACTCCAGGTGTTTACACATCTTTATTTTTATTGCAAGTAGGAGTGCAAAATTACCATGAACATTACGCCCTTTATGAATCATTTAGAATGGTTGAAAGGGGACATCCTATTTAACAAAATTGTTCTGTAAGGATTCATTGTGAGAAACTCTGTCCCGACATTTGCCCATCACAAGACCGTTTCAAAAAGAAGTGTCATTCATTCAGAATGTTTATTTTGTTCAGCGCCATTTTCTTTTTGCTTATTTCCCCTTGAGTACAATGGGAAATTTCCCCTTATTTTCCCCTTGCTTTGGCCTCTCTTTTATCACATTCATCCCTATTCAGTACTTGGACATTTGGCAATCAATGCAACATTTACATCCAAGTAAGACAGGACTGATGCTAAGCAGCAAGAGGCATGCCTTATTTACAGTGTGGCCTAAACTATGACACAGTTGGAAGGAAGGATGAGAAAATAAAGCTGGTGTAAGAGGATTACAGATGTCTGTGCTACTCACAAATGAGAAGAATTCATTTCTGACTTTCATATGCAGATAATGGAAATAATAAATATTTTAGTATTCTTGTATGTGTTAAGCAATATTGTGCACAAAGACAAGTTATCTCTTCTTACACAAACACAATAATTGTAAAAGAAATGTTCCCAGGAGGTGTGTGTATGTGTGTATGAATGAGATGGTAACACAGAAAATGATCTGTCGCTACCTTTAATTTCTAGATTGTGGTATTAGTAAACCCGTTAATAATGGTGTTTGTCTAATCCTTGTATTTTGCCACTTTTAAACACTTGAATTCAGTTCTGATTAGGGTATTGTGCATTTCTACACCAGGACAATTTACAAATATATAATGTATTCTTGGTTTATAATCATTGCTAACAACCCTAAGGTTGTAAAAACCCAGGTATAATGAAATGATAAGATGCTGTCTATCTTGGATTGTTGATTGCTGACAGTTTCTATCAAAGTTTGGAGAAAAGTCTGGAGAAATTTTGCTACTCACTGCACAGTGGTGTTAAATCTGTAACTGGCAGGCTAGAGTTGATAAGTGTAATCTCTTCATGTTATACTAATCAACTATAGCCTGCCAGTTGCTCCAAATCTAGAAGTATGATGCTCCTAACTTTCTTCAGGTTTAAACTGGGTCACAAACACACATTTATGTTCCAGAAGATAGGCGTACTGCCATATAAATGTTTTTATAATACAGAAAAATAGACTTTTCATAAGGTACCCTTTGGCACTTAAAAAAATCCCAAAGACCACACTTTTGTTGGCTAGTTTTTTAATTTTAGACCTGCACTTTGTTGAAATTTCCAAAAGGTGAAACATATTTTTAATTGTGATTTGCTTCTCTATTCTCTGATGATTCCCATTTAATTGAATGCATCAGAAATTGAGCGTAAATAACTTGTGGTTTTTATGAACAAAACTGTATGCTTTACAAGGAAGAATAAATAAACATGGAGACTGTGAAAAGATAAAATCTTTCACAGCTGTAGTATGTGAGATCTCAACTGTAGTTCCTAAAGTTGCAATAGTTACTATCAGTAAAGTACATAAGAGAGACCTTCAGCAATCTCATTGTACCATTTCATACAACAGTTCTCAGGGTAGAAAAGATCTATATTTATACAGCTGTAACAACTACTAGAGAATCAGACAGATACATTACACTGCTTGATGATACTTGTGTTGCTGATGCGACATTGATTTATACACCAAATTGGTGTGTGTGTGCGTCCGTGTGCTTATTGCCAATTGATGTTGTTTAAAGAGAAAGCAATTTGGTATGTCCCAGTGCTATTAATGACCTTCAGAAAGGTCATTACTGGTAAAAAAAATAGCTTTGACTTAATGAAGATTAAAGAAGAGGGTGCAGCAGCAAGATAGAAGCTGAATGCTGAGAATGCATTCCCTAACCATCTCTTAATAAGGAAATAAATGACTTTTTGAACTTTATGCATATCACTAATTGTTTAAAGTAGTTTTGGTTTTTCCAGCTACAATTTTCTCAGAAAGCTAAAACGAGGAACTCTTATTGTATTTCAGTTCTGCTGCTTACAGCAGAGGTGTGAATCACAGATCTTGTGAGCCCCAAAGCTATTTTTTGTACTGATAAAGTACCCAGGGTCAATAAATTAAAAAAACTGATTTTTTTTTAGGGTGCTAAAATTCCCCCTATAGGAAATTGTGTTTCTATGAGCTGCTGTTCTCTTGTAAGCAAGACATGTCCCCATACCTTGTTTTAGTAGAAAAAAAACATTAGTTGGTGGCTGAGATATTCATATAGAGGATGGTATAGACCCTGAGAGATTCTGGGGTCAGAAACATGGTATCTGGCCTCTTGGAGATTGCCCACTCTGATTTACAATATATTTTCTGGTGACACTGAAATCAATACACTGAAATTGTGATCAGTTTGAGATCAAGTATCCTTCAGCACCTGAGCATTTCGTCATTTATTTGATTCTAAAGGAGAAACCACCATCTCAGAATGTAAGAAAAGATACCATTTATTTCAATTTAAAATTTCTGAATGTGTTTTGGCCTGAATTTATGGCCACCTTCAGGGGCTGTATGAGGAAAACAAAGTAAAACAAAAGGGACAGCACAATAACACTTGTACTCTTTACATTAAAATTCATATAACCACCTAAAGCATTAACACACAATTCAGAAAAGAGAACATTCAACCAACATATTAATAACATTTAACTGACAAACAGCTGTTATATTTTATACATACCTTATGGCATAGTGGGAGAAAGGTCTCCTATGTATGGATGTTATATTACCCTGGCTGTTCTTCAGGGAACAACGGCTGGGGTAAGATAACATTCATACATAGGAGACCATTCTCCCACTACCTCAAGCCATCTGTTGGAGCTGGGGGCAAACCAAGAGAGAGAGAGAAAGGAAGAAATTAACTGTATGTATAAAATATACAGTAATGGCTATATTTGTCAATTAAATGTGATTAATAATATGCTGGATGTATATTTGCTTTTGTGAATAATGTATATTAACATTTTAGATGGTTATTTGCATTATAATCTAAATATGTAAAAATGTTAGTTGATTGTGCCCTTGTATGTTTTTCTCATACAGCTCGTGAAGAAGAGTATAAATTTAGGCAGAAATGCACTGGGCAATTTTAAATTGAAATAAAGTCTGATACATTTTCTTACATCCTGAGACTGCTTCAAAATCAAATTTAGTGGACGCACAAGATCCTGTTTTTGATTACTGTTTCGTTCAGTCATTTAGTATCTTCATGTGTGGAGCCATTAATACTATGTTTACAGTGTTAAAATGCAAGGATATTTTTTTCTCCACTTCCAAGAATGAATGGCATAGCACTGCTATTTTTCTTCATTCTGTATCTTCTTACAGAATGCAGCTCCATCCCTAAATATTGTGTGCCTCTAGTCCTGTACATAAAATAAATGGAAAAATGGTAACTAGCACATGAAATTAAGTCATTAAAGGGTAAACATGGATGTCTGTAATGACTTCTGCATACCGCACTTTAAAAACTCTCAGTCATTAAAATATTGCCCAGAATATGAGTGGTGGTTGCATTTGGTTGATGTAATTTGCTATGACTAGTTGCAGCTAATTGACAGGATTCTGGTGTGCCTCCCAGATGCATGCCTGGTCACATGCCCAATTGTGCAACTGAGATGCACCCCAACACCTCATCAAACAGCCATAGCAAAATTATGCAAGCATATGTAGGATTCCCAACATTAAGTGTCAAGCTGCTGCAATAATGGTAAGGGCAAGGCATTGGTCGTTACAAAATAAACATGGACTTTCACATTTAATTGATCAGTCAGTTTCTGTTTATGGAATCTTCTAAAGATTTTTTATAACATGGATGCAGGGGTATTGAAAGTGTTATTCTACCAGAGTGTATTTCAAAAACATAGCTTGTATAGGTTGCCTTCCTCCTCAGTGTTAAAACTAGGTTTGTCTGAGTGAAGTAGGATGTACTACTATTGGCTGCAGAATACAACTGAGCCTTCAGCTCTTTGGCCAGAATCCTCTTGCATGACATGATTGAATAAGGGCAAGAGGCATTAGCTGTCTTTCTGGCTTCATGTTATGTCCCAGCCATGTCCTGGTTGCACAATTGATCATGGGACAGATAACTTAAAAACTCTTTGCATAAGTGCCTTTAACATGTGTGCAAAAACACAACAGGATTTTGGCCTTTAATACTTGTAAATCTTCTTGAAATGTCTGGGCAATGCATGGTGACATACGAAATCCAGAGACATTATAGCATAAAACATCTGAAGTGGAGCGAGGGCTTCACTATTCTCTACAACTTTTTATGCTAGATTGGTTATCAATAACTGTGTGCAGAAGATCTATCTGCAATTAAATAGCCATCAGTAAGGGGCTGAGGAGGATCTCTGCCTGAAAGCTTGGATACTGTTGCCATTATTGATTAAACACTGATAGGAAAAACTGATTAATGGCCTGATGTGATTGATATAAGGCCTCAACATTGCATTATATATATGTATAATTGTTTCATAAAACATTTGTTTAGCTTTCTGCTTTAGAAAAGATGTGATGTACATTAAGCAAAATTATTATGAAGCCATACTTTTTTTGGAAAACCCTGAAAAGTGTTGTCAGAAGTTAGAATGACTTGATAGCAGATTATTATTATTTAACAATAGATGTTTTGGAGCTATACTCCCAAAGAAGACTGGTCTTCAGTGCTGGCATTCCCAAGTTGTACATCTTCTCCAAGCTCTTACCTCATGTTGAGTACCTGTAGAAGAAAGATACTCAGTCAGAGTGTCTGATTTGAGCTATCTAGGTCTGTAGCTTGCAAAACACCACTTAAAACTTTAGCTTTAGAATGGATCAGTTATTATAGAACCAGGAGATACAGTAACCAGGAAATGTAGCCCAACCAAGAAGCTGAAGTTTCTGAACAGTTTTTAAGAATGATTATGAAGTTGAAGTGGGTCTATGATAGTAACTTGCCAGATAAAAAACACTACCAGATAAGGATCACTGGTTGTATCAACTGGCACACCATTGGCCATTCTTGAGGTCATCTGGCTGTCCAAAAGTCACATAGTCATCCATATTCGAGCTGGAATGTGACCAGAACACAATACCTACCTTTGTTTGTCAGTGAGTCTACTAGCTATTGCCTGTTCACATCATCTCCAAAGTGAGCTTCAGTTTTGTTCACTATTGTTTGATTTATTGTCAAACTAGATATTCACAAAGGAGGTTGCACCGTCTCATACTAATGCAAATGCTGAACATAAGAAATGTCATTGCATATAGTGAACATGAAGATTCCAGACACCATCAGTCAGTGAGTGGTTGCAGGTAGATGTGAAAAATGTATTAAAGAATGGGATATAAAATGTAGATATTAGAATGTAGATATTAAAAAGAATAGGATACAATATATAGCTGCTAGTTTTGACTCCTGTAGGACAAAGTGGTAGCTTTCCAGCACCACCTTCTGGAACTGAACAGAGCAAGGAGAAGATCTTAAAAGTAGTGCCCTTATTTTCATGCTGTACAAGCAGTCCAGAAGACAAAAGTGCTAGAAGGTATAGAGGATTCCGGTAGAAACAAAAGGATCTCAATATCCGCAAGGCAGTTTGTTACAATATATGCTTACATTTTAACATTCCAGTAGTATAAATGGGGAAGATACTAAGTCAAGGAATTTCAAAGTAATAAGCTGGCCGTGTATTGGCTCCTTTTTCTTTGTTTCCTTCCTGCTGCCTGCATATCTTCCTTGAGAACAACATGCAGAATTATATAGTATGCACATACTACACAAAACCTGCTTTCCCACATCACCTGCGTTGACTCCTAAGGTTGGAAAGTGGAACAACAGTTGTTTCCTCTGAAAAATTTTGTTTCCTGAGATTGGGTTTTCTATAGTAATTAAACAAATTTTTCTTTTTCTTATTCCTTTGTTCATTTGAGAATATTCCAGTCGAACCCATCTGCCTTATGTTTTAATTGTGCAATCCTGGCTATGTCTACTTAGCTTATTGAAATGAAGTTCCATTCAGCTCAGTGGGACCTGTATCAAGGCAAACGTGTATAGTATCACAGCCTTATCCTATTTGTGGATCCAGAAGTATTTGCACTGCTTGAAAGAACACGGCTAGAACATTTGAGACATATCCTAAATTATACATGTGGGATGATGGAATGAAGCAACACTTGTAGAATGAAAAATATGTAGGTTATATCCATGCCAGTGGTTCTGCATGGGATATGCCCTGTGTCATAGGGTGGTGCATGTATCTTCTGTCTTTTCCTGATCTGCGTTTGTACTTTGTCATGGCTCATGATTGTGGCCATTTAAAACCAAACTGTGCACAACATGGAGGTTCGAAACAAAGCCTGGAAAAGTTACTTTCTTAGTACACAGCTCTGAATATTCCCCCAGCCAGTTTGGCCAGAATTTTCTAAGAATCCTAGGAAATTTTGCCCCCAGAAGTAACTTCTCCAGCTCTAGTTCTAAATTAGGTGTACCCCAAATTGTAGTATGATTTAGTTGCTAAGTTAGTGCAGCTTTTCCACAGATTGCTTTACCTAAAGTCTTTCTACCTAAAGCAAAAGTATGGGTATATAAGTAGGCAATATATGAGGTATTTCAGAGTCTAGTCTATACTTCCCTGTGTCACCTCAAGTCCAGGAGATAAGGCTCTTTTAAACCGTGGAGAAAACAGTCTATTATGTCAAGTCTGTGCCTGTTTTAGGGAATAGAACATGCCCTTTACATTTAGAAAAATACTTCAGTGGGGAAGTATTTTGGTCTGTTTTCTACTTTGAATTTAGTATTAAAAGTTTGATACATAATTGAGTATATATATTTTTAAATCTGCACTAAAAACAAAAAGATTTGTGTTGAAAATGCTCTGCAAAAAATAAATAAACCATGTTTGCGTCTTGTGTTTGGATAACAGGTTTGGTTCTCCAGTGTCTTCCTGTGTCATTCTTGTTTAGGAAAATGTCTTTTTTTATCTGTTTGCTTATATATTTCCTGTATTTTATAGCAATAAATTTTTCAGTCAATGTGTTTGTCTCATGCCTTCAATGTTTGAAAAACGTGATTGCAGTAAAAGTAACTTCTAGTGTGAACCATATCTCCACTAGTTGTCTCTTGTTGTATTGGACTCATAATTCCCTACAATAAGGAAGATCTCATGGGGGGGGGGCGAAGAGAGAAGTGTCCCTTGTGCTCTGAAGCATCTACGGTAGTTTGTTTTTTTTAAAATATTTCAGGAAAGCAGCCAAGCCATACCATTATTTACTATATAAATCTCTCTCCAGGTCTTTGGCATAATCCAAGGGATCTACTTAAAGAAACACAAGGAGGGGAGGGGAAAGTAAGACCAGAGGAAAAGCTTGCCCCTGAGAAAACATGTAAATCAGTAGAGTTTTTCTGCTGATTAACATGGGAGATGTTCATCCATTCCCCTTTCTATAATCATTCATCCCCCTGAAAGTCTATTCCAGGAAACTGGGGGATCCTCCAGAAGGATCGAGAATGGGTAACAATCGCCCTTCCGTCTTTTGCCACCTCCACCATCCCCTCAGTGTTCAGCAAAATGCAAATTACTTGAGTTTGTTATTCTCCATACATAACCATGCTGGATGTTTTGCCACAGGCAGGTGATGATGGGGACAGTGACTTATCCCAAATGTTGTGTGTGTGGGGTGCCCTTACTCTGTTTAAATCATGATCCATTCCTAGGTTTCCTTCTGTAAGAGCATGGAAAATGTACTCCAAATAAAACAAGAAGTCTTGCATACATACTGATGCATTCATTACAGGATGAACCTTCTTGGTATATAGTCCACCTGGAATTAGAACTCTAGAGCTGGAAAGGGCCACAAGGATCGTCTCCCCGATTCCGGATATCCCCAGCCAAAGGATCCCTCACACCTGACCATCTTTGTAAACACCATTAGATCAAACCCCTTTCTGAGGTAGTCTTTTATCTTACTGAATAACTCTGACAGGAAGTTATTCCCAATGTTTAGCTGGACTCTCCTTTCCTTGTTTGGATCCATTGGTTTAGTGCCAGGAAATATACGTACTGTACCCCCTTCGTTTGGGAATGAGAATGCAATCAGATAAATTAAATGCAGAAAATGCAGACGCCATCTGCATTAACAGAGTCCATTCACAGAACTGCTTCTGAAAGCACAAACATCCTCACACAAAGTAAGGCAGTTAACTCAGTGGGATAAGGAATTGTTATCCTGGTTCAAATATCTAATAACATTCACAGCCAAACAAAACATGATACTTAAGGAAGGACCAGATGCTGCAGCCAAAGTAGATGTCAACTGTGTGCCATATTTCTAGTGGCAACACTGTTCAGAGGACCTGATACATACCTTTTTCTGCATTCTACATAGGGCAAAGTGGTGAGCTGCCACACAAAACAAATGGGCACACATAGGACATGAGAGACGAAAACCAGTGGAAGAAAACCAGTTTCACAGGATGCTGTGTTACTGTCTGGATAGCAAGTGAAAAGGCATTTCCAGGGCAGGAGTGTTTGACTCGCACGGTGCCTACCCACCGGAGTGTGGCACCGGGCAAGCCAGGGTGATCCCAGAAAAAAGGGAACAACAAACCACTTTTGAATACATTTTCATCTAGAAAACGCTGAGAAAAGTCACAGTAAGCTGGAATCAACAGCACGCAATTGTTTTTTTTTTTTTAAATTTTAATAAAACGGTACCTGTGGGGGAGGGGGAGGAACTAAATGGAAACTAACATGCAAGGGGGATTAATTACAGCCAATTAGGATATTCCAGCGGTTCTCAACACACGATGTGCCATGTTCCTTTTGATGCATCTGATGAAGTAAGCTAGAGGCTAGAAAATCTATGCTGCACGAAATGGGATATTTAAGGTACGGAGGTCTTGCCCTTCCGATACAGCTTTGCTACCCTTCTGGAAATTCATCACGCAAAGTAAGAAGCCCGTAAAAAATCTCAATCTACTTTCCCTTTGCAAGTTTGACAGTGGAAGTCCACCTCAACTCCAGCCCCGGAAATGCCGAGGAAGAGTGCAGTACAGGTATCTATGAACGTCGAAGCTTTCGTATCTCTTTATCACCGGAAGTAAGTAGGCGCGTGGCTCTAAAGTCTTTTTCCTTATCTCTATGGTCAAATGAGGCCCGGGAGTGTCTCTTAGCAACAGTGCGGACGCTGTGTAGTGGGGCGGCTTTTTTCGCCTGAGAGGAAACGCCGAGTTTTTCCACAGTTAAAAGTTCTGCTAAGAGTCCAGCCAATGTCGAAGTTAACCAAAAAGAAGGAGCTGGTGAAAAGTAACAACGTTCTCCAGACGGGGCTCCCTACTAAAGAGTAAGATTCCTGTAATTTCTCTGAGCATCGTTTTCCTTCCTCCTCCCCACCCACCCTTTCCAACTCCGACGGACGTGCCGCAAGGAAAAAAAAGACATTTTCCTGGGTTAGCCGCCCTGTGATAAAATCTTGCTTAAATACATCTCGGTATTTTAAAGGACAGGTTGGGTGGCATGTTGGAAGTAATACTGACAAGAGCACCTCTGGGCATGTGCAGAAGGTGCTGCCTTTGTCAACGCTTTCCTCCAGCCCCGTCGTTGCTCTAGCGTTACAGCCAGAACTTCCAAGGGGTTTGTGCCTGTTTGCTTGTTGTTGTGGACAGTTCTGTTTTTATGCACGTCCTGTTGTGGTGTGCCCTGCCATCCTGTCGCCTCCATCTCAGGGTGACCCTATGAGGGAGGGAGGTCCCACGTGCCCTGTCCTCTGGAGGGAGGGAGGTCCCACGTGCCCTGTCCTTGGCAGCTCTGCTCAGCTCAAGCCTGACTCCCCTAGGAGAGGGACTGGATCTGTAAAAGAAGCCACAGGCTTGAGTTTACAAGAGTTGAGTAGGGCAGTTGAGGACAGGACATGTGGACAGGTCCTCATTCCTAGGGTCACCACAAGTTGCAGCTGATTAGATGGCGCATAACAACAACAAGAACTTAAGGGGTATGTAGTGTGGTGTAGTGGATAAAGTAACGGACTAAGACTCAGGAGGCCCAAATTCCATTCCCCGGTTCTACCATATAGACTCACTGAGGGGTGGAACTGGTAAAACCACTCCTTAAATACCTCACTTACCTTGAAAACCCTATTAGGGTTCCTACATGTCAGTTCTGACTTGCCAGCACATAACAGCAAATAGCTTAAGGCTAGCTGTGATTGGTCAGGCCAAAGATTAATCAGTCCCAGCACTTTATTTTTTTTTTAATTTTGTATTTTTCTTATAAAGGTAGGGTAAGGTAAGGGGCAGCTGGGATAGGCATACCATAAATCTAAATTCAAGATCAGCTGACTTACAGTAACTTACAGCTTCAGTTTATAGAGTGCTACAGGTGGATCTTCTCAGTAAGGTAAAGGTAAAGGTTCCCCTTGGCATTTAGTCCAGTCATTTCCAACTCTAGGGCGTGGTGCTCATCCCCATTTCCAAGCCTTGGAGCCAGTGTTTTGTCCAAAGACAGTTTCCGTGGTCATGTGGCTGGCGGCACTAAACACGGAACGCCGTTACCTTCCCACCGTGGTAATACCTATTTATCTACTTGCATTTGCATGCTTTTGAACTGCTAGGTTGGCAGGAGCTGGGACAAGCGACGGGAGCTCACTCTGTCCCGTGGATTAGATCTTACGACTGCTGGTCTTCTGACCCTGCAGCACAGAGGCTTCTGCAGTTTAACCCACAGCGCCACCACATCTCCCTGATCTTCTCAGTAGTCAGTACCAATAACTGCAAAACCTCCTCACTTTGGGGCAGTGCATCTGACACCACAAACTGGTGAGGACAGAGAATGGCTTTTGGTTTTGTAGGGCCAAGCTAGACATGAAATTTGTCATTGACCTGAACATGTATGCTTAAAAAGTAACACAAACTAATAAACAGCTGGCACCTTCAAGATGGTCCCAGATTAGAATGGTGCTGTGGTCAGAGAAAAGTTTAATCTTATTGGTACTTTGGTCTCCATGAGAATGGAACCCCTGCATGACTACTGCTTTCAGATGGATGAATGTTGCTACTTGCACTTGGCAGTACAGTGGGGTCTTGACTTAAGAACGGCCCGAGTTGAGAACATTTTGACTTACAAACCACTCTCATAGGAAAATATTGACTTGACTTACATACATAGATTTGAGTTACGAACTGAAAAAAAAACCACGTGGGAGGCAGGGAAAGTGCAAAATGTGAACTTTCAGTTAACTGTTGGCCAGTGAAAAGGGTGCCTGTCTGCTTCCTCACTCCTCCCAGCGTTTAGAGAGTGGATTGGGAGACAGTCTTCGGACTGCCTGGTCCTGTACTGCCTGGACTGTATTTTCCCTGCCTTCCCTGAACCTTTCTTGACCTAAGAAAAAAAAAGAAAGAAACAAAATATCCCCCTCTAGTGGTCGAAGGCGGAATAGCAGCTTCCCATTAGTTTCTAAGGACGGAAAAGAGCAGATACAGATCAAATGGTTCTCAATGCATTCCTATGGGAAATGCAGATTTGACCTGAGAAACTTTTGACTTGAGAACCGCCTTCCAATATGGATTAAGTTCTCAAGTCAAGATCCCACTGTAATGGAAAGTAGTTGGCATGAGGAAACTAAATATTATGTAAGGCCTAGACATGGATGAGAAATTCATTGCCTGGGGAGTCTGTATTGACTAAGTGGAATGTCCTCTACTCATATCAAGTGTGGCAAGAGAGCTTGAGTGTCAGCACCTTATTTCTAGAGACCATAGGTAGGTGCGTCCTTCACCACCTGCCCCCAGAGTTGAACCGCCAGGTTTACCTATGCTAAACAAATATGGGATCATGGTTAAGTCTCTTCAGTTAAGGCTGGGAAATCTGGGTTTAAATCCCCATACAGTCCTCGTTCTGTATGTCTCCTGAACAATCTTGGACCAAGATTTCTTTCAACCTAACCAACTTTACAAGGTTGTTATGAGAATAAATAGTGGTGACACAACTATATATATTTCCCCACTCTTCCTGGAAAAAAGAGTGGAATAAAGATTGCATGCATGGGTAAAAATTGCACCAGTGTGAGTACAGGAAACACTCAAATAATTTCTTGCTCCAAGCCATTACACACATTTTCTTGTGAAAAATGTTTTAAAATTAAAACGTCCTCTCTCCTGCAATATAACTCCATATATACATCTATCTGTATTCTCTTGTGCAAATATACATGTTGATGCAAATAATCTTACCCTGGCTTTTTTTTTTTAAAGACCAAATATTGCTGCCTTTCCTCATCACTGATCTCTTGATTTAAATGGTCGTTGTTTTCATTTATTAAAAATAAATAAAAGAATGTAACTTTTTACATACCAGCTGCCAAACAACATACTGTATTTTGTGTATACTCTTGGCCATTTTCAAATTCTTCAGACAGCAGGTTCCACACTCAGCTTCCTTTCTGATAGATTTCAGTGCTGTCTTCTCCTATGGAAAAATAAACTTTCAACCAAATAATCTAATGACAACAACTGTTTCTGACATTGCTTTACCTTAGCCAGATTATTACATGTCAACATCTAACATTATTAAGATCTTAGGGATATATGAAGCCTTTTGCAAAGCACTACTTGAAAGAATGTCAGGTCAAGACAGCATATCTCTTTTACTTCAAGAAACCACCAGCTAAGCCTTCTGGCCTTGACCGTCAGGAATCATTTAAGTTTAGCTTCTGTTGAACTGTAGATAGTGAATTTAAATCAAGAGCTTGATGGCAGCTTGTTCTCATCTATTGAATGACATTTTTATCTTTAAAGACATATTTCAAAGACAAAAAAGGGAGATTGTTTTTTCCTTGCTTGTTGTCCTGTGCTTTAAAGTATGTTGTTGAAAAGTTAACAATGTGGCTCCATATGTGACTTTTGAGAAATACCATGTGGGGTTCAGAAGGGCTTACACCCATATACATGGGTATATAATTGCAACCTGTGTATTTGCAGGAGTAAAATGTTTTGGATAGTTTTTTTAGTTTTGAAAAAAAAATTGGACTAGTCAGCATGTTGCTCTGAAAGCATGTGAGGCAGTAAATTTGCTGATCCTAAGTAGCACTCAGAGCTTGGATGGGAAACTGTCTGTGAGCACTATGCATGTAGCCTCAGGTTAAAAAAATACATGTAATAAATGGATCAATAACACAAGAGATGGAGAGAATGGTTCTCGTATCTATGTATTAGTGACACATAAAAAGTAATCCGTTATTTCTTTAAAACTAACAATCATTATTTGACATAAGCTTTCACGAATTGCAGCCCACCTCTTCAGATGAGTCAGAGTAACCAGAACCATAGATTAGATTTCATAAACATACATACTAATTAGAAAAACAGAGTATATGCATAGGCTAATATATAGAGTGCTAAGACTAGCTAAGGAAGACCATGGCTTCGCTTAGTTTGAAATTCAGTGTATGACCCGTGCCTTTTGGAACCTCACAAGTGGAGCATGAAGGCAACAGCTTCAACTCTGCCACACTAGATGAAGACAACCAGCATGTTTGGGATGGTGAAAGTATAGGGGAGAATGCATAAGGAGAAATAGACTACTGTTCCAGCTACAAGAAACAGTTCACCATAACTATAACAAATCTCCAAAAAGATTTTGTTTTCAGTTCCATAATCAAATAATGCTGTTTTCTTGGTGTAGGCTAAGATGAAGACCAAACTTCAGAAATATCAGCCTCCTCAAATGAAAAATGGAGAAGAACTTATTGTATAATTTCAGAGTTAGTATGGATATTTAATGACATATATACTACATGTAGGTTTGGGATATAATCTCAGTCTTTCAGAATAAAAAAACCCCTCTGTACTCAACACATATTTTCCATTAAGGAGGGTTTTTTCTTCCCTTCATGTAAAGGAGCAACCTACTTTATACAATAGTGTGTGCTTTTCTAATTAAGGTATTGTGACGTTTACAACGTGGCCCCTGCTTGTTTCACCAAACAAAGAGCTCACGCTATATCATCCCACCAGCTGTGTCATTCACTCCTTTGATGCACCTATGCGTTGTGTCCTCACAAAGGGTTCAATCTTCTCTTTTCCTCACTGCCACCAGTGGATTTCCTTTATCCACAATATATTTATTTTATTTATTTATTTATTTATTTATTTATTTATTTATTTATTTATTTATTTATTTATTTATACCCCGCCTATCTAGTCATTTCGACCACTCTAGGCGGCTTACAACATAAATTGACTTTAGTCAAACACTTGTCTGGTAACTGCTAACAGAACATATTTATTGAAGTGTATCAAATTTAATCATACTCACTGATGTTCTTCAGATATTCATTGTACCCAATCATTGTACCCAATCAAATCATTAAAATACCATATCTCTTGCCACATAACCAATCACCACCTACTCTATATATCTTGACCAGCTTATCCCTATTAGCATCTGTTCCTTCTCTCTCTTCTCTCACAATCTCTCTATCTGACTGTCTATCTGCAATTCTATCTCCCTTTTCTTATCCTGCCAAACCTTTTTATCTGCTGACTCCACCCCTCCAATCCTCTCATAGGCTCATGCAAACAAGATCCTGACTATGAGTGACAGGAGTGACGTGGGGTAATCTTCACAGGTATGTGTTTCTCTCTGTTTCAAACAGCTACCTTTTACTGTGTTGAGACACAAAGAATTGTATTGCTTTGCAATAGTATTGAATTAACAAAAGTTCAGGTGCAGAATTGTCCTGTTCAGGTTTCCAGCCATTTCATTTCAAGCCTACTCTGTCCTCTGTGGCTGTTTTTCTGGTACCCCACAAGGATTTTTAAGTGTTGTTTTCCTTCCGAAAATCTTGAAATTTTCTTAAGTCTTCTCCTGTCTTCCTCATGTGATGCTGTTATGATGAAAAGTCTTCAGTTAGCACACTATTCACTTTTAGAAATATTACAGTTTTGCTGACTGTCCTGTTTATTTTAGCATCTGTTCCTTCTCTAACAACAACAACAACAACATTATGCCACCAAGTCAATTCTGACTTATGGCAACCCTTTATAGGGCTTTCAAGGTAGAGAATACTCAGAAGTAGATTACCATTACCTTGCCCAATCTACGGCTCCACCGCCAGATACCTAAACACTAAGCTATCCAGCCAACTGGAATTCAAATAAATAAATGCAATCCTGCACTTGTAGAATTAGATTTGCTGTTATTATTTATAAGGCCATGTTCCATTAGATAAACAAACAGACAGACAGCACTGACTTCTGATATATACGGTAGACAATATTTATGTTTTTATTTCCTCCCCACATCATTTTCTCTATCCTTTCTTGACATTTACCTTATCCAGTATGGAAAGCAAATTCTATCACTATAACTGTACTGTAATTGTCCATCTGATTTGTATTCTTGAAGGCTTTCACGGCTGGGATCTGATGGTTGTTGTGGGTTTTTTGGGCTCTTTGGCCAAAAGAACATGGCCAAAAAGCCCCAAAAACCCACAACAGCTATCCATCTGATGGTTTTGTCTTTATGTTGAAAACAAATGTGATTATTTCAGGAATAGATACCAATGACATTTTTCTTTCCAAATTTCGCTTTAATGCTATAGCTATAGCAAAAAGTACAGGCATGTGTTGAGCGGAAGTGCAGATCCCATAAAAAGCACAATTAATGTATAAAAATGTAACATACTATGAAATTACAGGCACCATTAAGATCAGATATGAAACTTATAAAAATACTAAACATCCAAAATATGATGACAGATTGAAAAATAAATTTTTAATCTATTAAACCAAAGCCATCCATAGAGCTATAATCATTTCTTCTTTGACATGCTTCATTGCTGTTCAATCATTTGAGAATAGCAATGTCATTAAGTATGTAAGAATTTTGATTAGTCTGTTGAAAATTATATATGCACACGTGTATACATGTATATAACTATGAAGGATATCAGTGATCACTGCCTTCTAAGTGGTATTATGCGATACAAATATTTTATCATTTTGTCAGAAGGTGGAGATGAAAATAAGAGTTTCTGGATTTTTCTTAAAGTGTCAAAGCCTAGGAGAAAAAACCTGTGGCTGTCTAGTCTTTGCGTATGTACTAGAGAACAAATAAAGAATTTCTGCATCAGTTACATTTATTCCATTTTTACTCATATCACATTGGATGTTATATACTGCAAATCAAATGATGAGGCTGAAGAAAGGCAAATATATATGTTCAAGGAAATATATATTTCCTATACTTATATTTTGTCTCTGATTATGTGATTGCCTTTTTCATATGAATCTTGCCAGTCAGGTATGTGAAGGAAACTGGTATTTATAGTTCAGTTATCAATTATGCCTTTGCTTTTAACATACTCTTATAATCAAATGTCATTTGCCATTTGAGGCAACACTGCTTATACATACGGAGTCAGCACTTGCATAGTTTAGTTCTAAAACTATTGTGCTCTATTATGGACCTAATAAATGTGGATGACCTTAGTGCCCATTACCTGTGATGCTGTGATGTTTGGATCAATCAGAACATATGGCCTATGATAGATGGCTTAAGTGAAGGATATCTATATAACTTACTTATGCAGGTTTTAATGATACAAAACGTGGACATATTTTTATGTTCACATTTTCTTTCAGCCTTTGGTTGCTTTCTGGGTCAGCATCCGTTTTGAACCCTCAAGGTGCTTCACTTGAGGCAAGGAGGGCGAGATTTCCTATCTGGCCTGAATGGAATGAAGCAGATATCAATGCAGAAAAGTGGGATGCAGGGAAAGGTGGAAAGGAAAAGGATAAAACTGGAAAAAGTCCTATTTTGGTAAGTTTACCTTAGTATATTCATCAATATGTTCAGGTACTCCTAACACAACTTTTAAAGTGTTACCACTTTCCAGAATTATTGTCCATTTGAATGCCACTTTGAAGTGTTTGCATCTTGTGTTGGGCATTAAGAACAGATCAATGATCCTGTTCATGTACCACCTCCCTGTTGATTTCCCTGGGTCTCTCCATTTTATCAAGAAACTGCTCAATAGACCTAAGAAGCACTCAGAGAAATTTGTGTTGTATAGGGGGAGGACAAAAATAAAATAAAATAAAATAAAAAGAGCAAACTGCAAAATATTTACAACATAGAACTACAGAACTGTGATTTTTCATTATCTCCTGAATATCTCCTGAATATCTTTTAGGTACTTAAAAATACATTAATGTTTTATAGCATGTCTTTGAAGATCCAGAAGGAAAAATTGAACTTCCTCCTTCTTTAAAAGTGAGTTCCTGGAAAAGGCCACAAGAAATTTTAACCAATAAGGTAATAACTACTTGTTATAATCTGTAGAAAACAGACTGTAGCAAACAATGTAATGACTAAATAAAAAGCTTCTTGTTTAGCAATCTCCTGTTTTGTTCACAAAAATAAATGAATAGGCTCAGAAGGTAATAGCATTTGTTGATCAGGAATTTAATACAACCAGAGCAGTGTCACTAGCATCACCAACATTAACAGATTTATGTTAACTGGAACCACTTTCAGTTTGGATGCACTGGCTCTGCAATCCATGTAGAACAGATGGAATCCTTGTTCTCAAAACAAACTTTGTTGCAAGACCACTGTATCTGTCCCACCCCAGCATGTCCATTCTCAGGTGACCTGGAAGAGGAACCGGTAACAATGATGCCAGAAACACTTCTCCTGAAAGAGCAGCTAGCTAGTTGTACATCAGATGCTTTGTATAAGAACAACAATGGGTAAAAGTAATATGAAACAGATAAAATTAACCGACCAGATAGGCGGGATATAAATTAAATAAATAAATAAAGCAAGCAAGCAAGCGAATAGAGCCCTGTTTTATTTAGTGTCATTTCTGTTGTTGCAGAAATGGATGCAGAGATGGTTGGGAGGGATCAGATCATGTTTGGGACAGCTGTGTAATGAAACTCCTGTGTGCCTAGTGTTAGCGGTAAACTAAAGAAAACCCTTCTCTCCCCCCAAACCTGGAATTTTTCTTTGTCTCAATGCACTTTTTTCTCTTTTTATTTTGCTAGTGTCATAGTTTAATGCATTTGATTACTTAACGTGATATGAAATTGTCCTTTTTATTTTCCTGTGCATTTTAGATAGAACGTTAATCTTGCTAACTTTTATGCGACCTTTGTAATTTCATGGTTTATAGTTTATTTTCTTATGTCTTATGTCTTATGTCTTATAAAATTGGTTAAAGCGAATAGAGCCCTGTCTTATTTAGTGTCATTTCTGTTGTTGCAGAAATGGATGCAGAGATGGTTGGGAGGGATCAGATCATGTTTGGGACAGCTGTGTAATGAAACTCCTGTGTGCCTAGTGTTAGCGGTAAACTAAAGAAAACCCTTCTCTCCCCCCAAACCTGGAATTTTTCTTTGTCTCAATGCACTTTTTTCTCTTTTTATTTTGCTAGTGTCATAGTTTAATGCATTTGATTACTTAACGTGATATGAAATTGTCCTTTTTATTTTCCTGTGCATTTTAGATAGAACGTTAATCTTGCTAACTTTTATGCGACCTTTGTAATTTCATGGTTTATAGTTTATTATAAATATCATCATCATCATCATCATCATCATCATCATCATCATCATCATCATCATCATCATCATCATCATCATCATCATGTGCTGTAAAGTTTATTCTGGCTTAGGGTCACCCTTTTCAGGGTTTCCCAGGCACAGAATAATCAGAAGTAGTTTAACATTTCCTTCTTCTGGGGACACCCTAGGACTATACAGTGGACCCTTGACTTACAGACGGCTCGACTTACAGACTTTTCGAGTTACAGACTTCTCTGGTTGCAAAATTTAGATTCGACTTGCAGCTGGAGAATCGACTTACAGACCAGAAAAAAACCAAAATGGAATAAAAATAGAATAAAAACCACTGGTTTATGGGATTAATCTGTTTTCAGTGCATTGTAGGTCAATGGAGATTCGACTTACAGACTTTTCGACTTGCAGCCACTATTCCAATACAGATTAATTCCTTAAGTAGAGGGTCCACTGTACAGCTTGCTTAAGGCCACACAGGCTGTGTCTACTTATAGGAGTCATGGTGGGGAATGAAACTCCCAACCTCTGATTCTTCAGCCAGATACCTAAACCACGGATACCTAAACCACTGTAGTTACACAAAAGTATAACTACAAAACCAGCTGTTTTGTCGTTATACTTTTATTTATTTCTGTGGAATATAAGTGAACGATCAAAAGTACTGCCAGTAAATAAATAGATGAGGAAAAGGTGAGAACAGAGTATTTTTTGAGAAATGCTGAACTATTACATGATGATGAATAATAGTAAAAGCAACTAAATGTTGCAATAGACCGAATTCTGCTGGGATAAGTTACAGAAATCAATTCCAATGACATTGTCAACCATTGCTATGCTGTAGTCATTTCAGGAGAAATGAAAGCTTCCCATTCTGACACACACACACACACCCTGCTGCCGCCAGTTTCTGGTCTGACACACACACACACACACACACCCTGCCGCCTCCAGTTTCTGAAATCCCTTTGGAATCTTGTTCATGCTAGGAAGCCTTTAGGACCCATAGAATGAGGTAGGGAATACTGTAATTAAAAGCCAGAAAATTGCCTCTGGCAGTTCTAGCACCAAGACCAGGACCACCAACAATGATTTTCCAGTCATACATAGCAGGCAGTGAGGGAGTGGGAACATAATACACAGGAAAATATGCAGAGCACCACTTTTGCCTATCCCTAGATTATAGTGTGATTAATTCAAAGGGATTGCTGTGGCATAATGCAATGTGACGCAGATTTGTAATTTTGTCCAGAACAAATATATCTACAGTGACTGTGTAGGTCCGCCCAAGGACATTGTACAAGAATACAGTAAAGCTTAACTTAGAAGATAGCTTGGTCGTCTGTAATTTAACATCCATTATTACCATCATGATCTTTATAACTGTGCTCATTGATCTGTGGCAGGATTGCTTATTTTTGTTTCCTTTGTTAACAGAAAACTGTTTCCCTTATGTTTATGCTGGATAAGACTTTTGAAATGAGCTTATCTTGGAAAAATGATCTTATCAAATTGATAGTCTTTTTGCCTGAGAGAGAAAACTGTTCTGTCTCATCTCAAGCAAGAGACAGACAATAGTTATTTTCAGAAGTTTCAAGGCAAGAGGACAAAGTTGTTGTTGACTTTGATGGGTATATTCACTTCGCTATATATGTGTTCAAAGGTTTTGTAGGTTTTGAATTACTTTCCGTATCTGTCTGGCCACAGTGTAAGACCAAAGGAAAAAAAAAGAGTGGATACATCTTGGGAAACTGTCTCTTTCATATTGTTTTCAAATCTTTAGAAACCTCTTCACTGTCTTCAGCCAACAATTCCATGTTTAGTACCTGATAACACAGTTCAGACACTTAGCATCTTTAAAATTTGCTCACATTACTTTTGAAATTCATGTTGTAGGTAGGATGTTAGCAAGGTCTTTTAAGATATGAAACAAGAACAAGATTCCACCCAAACTCATCAATATTTTTCACCAATATTTTAATGATTTTTTAATTTTTTTTTTTTAAAGGTGCCTGTGGTGGTGAAAAATGAAAGTTGGTTTGATCTCTTTTCAGCCAATGAACATTTAATGGGCAGTGAGGTATGTGAACAATAACTCTTTTAAGTAAGAAATATATTAATTACCCATAAGGACACCATAAAGGCACCTTTCAGCTAAAACAGTGGTTCTTAACCTTTGTTACTCAGATGCTTTTGAACTGCATCTCCCAGAAACCCCAGTCAGGACAGCTCGTGGTGAAGGCTTCTGGGAGTTGCAGTCCAAAACTCCTGAGTAACCCAAGGTTAAGAACCAGTGAGCTAAAACATGTACCAAAATACTTACATTAAAACATGCATGAATTGTGTATTCTGTAGCAAATATTGTTTGCATGTTCATTTGACTGCTGTTTTTCACAAAACAAGAATCATAGACTGATATGGACACTTGTGCCTGAACCTATGCAAAACTAACAAAGATTATGAAAAGTCAATCAGTTTACCCTTATTGTAGAGAAATATCCAGACAAAGCCATAGTCTCTTAGAAAACGTAGCTATTGATAGATCTCATTTTTTCTATATTATGCTGTGAGTTTTAAAATGTGTTCCTGACAATTGTTAAGTATTTTTATGCAAACTTCTCAAAATGTATGTATTATTCTACATATATGCATTTTTGTAAGCTGTTTTCCTTGTTTGTGTGTCAGTTTCTATAGAATATACATTCCTCTGTGCATTGTTGTCTATTGTGCATATTTTGTCTATGTTAATTTTGATGGCAAAATTTGGAAAACTGTGGGTATCATTCTACTAAGATACGGCACGTTTTGATTGATATACAAGTTTTTATAATGTGTACTGAACAAATACTAACTGATTCGTCACACATCTCAGAAACAGATGTGACATATTTTTTCCTTCCTTTGTGAATGTGGTCACAGAAACAGTATTAACAATGAGACATATAAAATGTCTAAGAGGAAGCCCACTGAAAGCAATGGGACTTTTACTAGCTATGACCAACAAGTGCCATTCACTTCAGTCAGTCTACTCTTTCGTTTAGTCGTTTAGTCATGTCCGACTCTTCGTGACCCCATGGACCAGAGCAC